CCTGCCTATGCAGGGGGTCGGACTCGATGATCTATTGAGGTCCCTTTCCGACCCTAACATCTATGAATCTATGAATCTCTCCCTCCATGGCAGAAAGTAGGATGATTTATTAAGGGCAGGGCACAGAAGCTTCTGGGATTGGGGCCCTGTTATCATAGAAATCCTAGAGAACTGGGGCTGGAAAGGACCTCCAGAGGTCACATCTATGGGGGCACGTCTGAGGCAGGATCAGCCCTGTCCAAGCCATCCCAGATAAATCCATAATCTAAATTCTTCATAAAATAACTGTCAACCCTGACACCGCACAATACGTCACACCCAAAACTGCCATAGGGAAAGCAGGGGGACGGCAGCAGCCAAAGCCCTGCTTATATAAGAAGTAGTTAGGATATGCCTAAGGGTTCCCAGGTAGGAAGTCCAGGATGTCAGGTACTGCAGAGATGCATGGCTGGGGTGAGCCGCTACCCCCCAGCAGTCTCTGGCCAGACAAACACTGGCCAGGAAGGGAAACTGAAGCGGAAAGGAAGAGAAGGACTTGGACCAGCCCTCATGTGGGGCACTGGCTGGGCTGGAAAGAGAACCCAGAGCTGGATCCTGTCTTCTGAACCGCACCCTTGTTAGTGCAGGATAGACCCTGGGGGCTGTTCACACGCTGCGGGGACTGCTCTCCGTGTCCGCAGAGCCCCCGAGGCCAGGCCCAAGGACCTGGGACTGCAGGGCTTGCTGTGCTGAACTCAGGATCTAACCCTAAAACTGACTGCATGTCCCAGCCTGATGTGGGGTAGAAGAACAGGTGGCAGTGGTGGGATCTGGGATCTCATGGTGGGGGGGATTGAACTGGTAATGAGAAGGAGAGTGTGAGAGCGTGCCTGTGGGCAACAGCAGCACCTGCAGAGCCCGGACACCTGGGTTCTCACAGCCGCTTGCACACGGGTTGGAGGTGCAGTGGTTACAGCAGCACAGGGCTGGTTTTGTTCGGGTCTCTTTCTCTTGCACCCCGGCCACGACACAGCTGCAGTCACAGCCAGGGAGCGGCCTTGGCTTCGCGGGTAACAGCTGGGACTTGCTGTACGCTGTCGAGAAGGTCAGGCAAAGCTGTGAAAAGATCAAGGGCACGGCACGTCTGGGCCTGCAGAGAACAGGAAGGCATCAGAGGCGCTGGGGGGAGCTGGGTGGCAGGGATTGGGCCCAGACGGAGGGGGGCACGGGGTGGAAACTGGTTTTCACATGCCTGCCTGGTGTGTCGTCCCCCAGCCCTGATGGGATCTCAGCTGTGGGAGGCGATGGCCCCGCTGCTCCTGGCTGCACTTGGCCTTCTGGGAAGTGAGCATCAAATGGTCCTCGATGTCTCAGAGCCCTGCAAGCTCCCATGAGTCTCAGCAGGACATGGTCCCTGGGGCCTGAGTGAATTAGGAGCCTGCATCCTATTTCCATTCATGTCCAATGAAAGCGATGCATATGACTATGAGACATGGGCTCCCCAGTCCAATGGGGGCCCTGGTGGAGGTTTCCTTTCATGCCTCAAATCACATCCCTCCCTATGAGTAGCCAGGTCCAGGCCACCAAGGCCCCCCTCAAACCCTGCAGCACCCCGACACCACAAAGTGACCCCTGTCTTCCCGCTTCCCTGACAGATGCCTGCACTGAAGCCTGGAGGGTGAATCTGAAGGCTGAGCCTGTGTCCAGGATGGAGGGCTCTTGCATGACGCTGCCTTGCTCCTTCAGCTACCCACAAAGGGAGCAGGTCACTGCAGTGATGTGGAAACAAAACGACAAGTACTTCGTGTATCACTTGGAAGAGGTGCGGGTCAGTGCGGTCTTCAAGGACCATGCCCACTACCTGGGCGACCAGCAGCACAACTGCTCCCTGAGGCTGTCTGGGCTGCGTCTCCATGACCAGGGCATCTACCACTTTCGCTTTGAGACCACAAACAGCAACCGGACCGAGGGGTGGACTGGCCAACCTGGCGTGAAGCTCAGTGTCTTGGGTAAAGCGCTCCCACCCAGGGGGATATATCATGGGCTTGGGGGCAGATGGGTCCTTATCTGCTCCTCTTCCATTTTCTGCTCCGGCTGAAGAAGTCAGGCTGGCGAAGAGAGGGCACAGTGGAGCAATGACAGCTGAAAACCAGGACCCCTGGGGGATAAAGTCTGATGGGTGGAAAGCTGAGGTTTGGGGAGCTAGTGCCTTTGGGGTCTTGCCTAGGCAGTGCCCCATTCTCTCTGCCCATCCCAGTGCCCCCTTCATCAGCACTGCAGGGGGACCAACATCCTCTGCTCGAGGACCTGCAAAGTAAAACAGCCTAATTTCCTCCTTGTCTCCTCAACGGATGCATGCGGGACCCCTCATCTCCAAGTGGACCCCGAATCTCTCACATGCTCCGTCCGGGACAGCTGCCCCTATTCCCCCTCCTGGTATGGACCAGACGGCCGGCTGATCCCAGAACAAACCCAGCAGGGCAATCAGACCCGCCTGCAAAGATCCTCATCCCAGCTGCCCCCTGGCACAGCACTGAGCTGCTTGCTGGATGGATACAAGGAGCCCTGCACCCCGGACTGGCCCCCAAAGTCAGGTGCGGCCTTGGCTTCTAAACTCATTGCATGGTGGGGTCCAGGACTCCTGGGTACTTCCATGTCTGGGAGCTGCGCCAGGTTTCCCATAGGCAGTCTTGGGATCTGGGAGGAAGGACTCCTGGGTGCTTTTCTCTCTGCTAGTGTACCATTTGGAAGCACATCTGTTGTCAGTCTTTGGGATGATGATGACATTGTTGGCAAGCACCAGCTCGGTCCCAGACTCCCTTGTGACCTCTCAGGGCCCATTAATAGGGTTGTATTGACTCTGCCATAAATCAGCCCATTGGAAAGTGCTGATTTGGAGGAAAACAAGGGGGATTTCGCTTGTTGGAGCTGCCTCCAATACGCTGTGTGTATTGGAGGCAGCTGCACCCCACATTGCTCTTTCACACAGGTCCACAGGTCTATGATCCCAGGGGCTGAGTGGGGTGGGTCCTGAACTTCTTTCTGGCCCTTGCTCCTAGATGCAGCTCTGACCCCACTCTCATCCTCTGCAGCCCTGAACAAGACCAGTGTGGAGATTTTGCAGCTGACTCAGAGGAGCCTGGGCAGGGACAGCAACTCCATCACGCTGCACTGCCAGGGTCCCAGCCGGGAGCCCATGACTAGGTACATCTGGTCCCGGGACAGCAAATGGCTGCTGGAAGCAGGAGAAGACTTAAGCATCACCCATGAGGATGTTGCGGGTGATGGTGGCTACACTTGCGGCATCTGGATGTCCAGCCTGGGCTGGGGGCTCCTGGTGTCCTCCGGGGGCGAACCCATCACCCTTCATTGTAAGTAATGGATGGGGCATTCCCGCAGGTGAGATGGGCTGTGGCTGGTGTTGCCTGGGGGGTCTTTGGAGGTTGGCAACACATGGACTGAGGTCTTTTTAGCCAGGGATTAATATAGTTTAAGGCTGGGAAGGGCATTTTACTCCTGGAGCAGACTTCATATCCGTAAGATCATAAGAATGGGAATTTCGTAGCTCAAACTCCAGGCTCATCTTGCCCAGTCTCCTGTGTCATGTGGAGGTAGAGCAGAGGCTGGAAGGAGGAGTGACTGTGTCTGAGCTGGGTTTCTCCCCCTGTTCCTCTATCCCTGTCAGCCTCCAGCATTTGAAGGTCTGATTCAGAGGCTGTGCCCCGTACCCCCATCCTCCAAAAATGGGTCCAGTCCCTTAGTGGATCTGGGTGAACTCTCAGTTTCCACCAGCCACGAGTCCCACCTTTTCCTCCCATGCTGGGTGAAAAAGACCTGCCTGGTGTTCGTTATCAACTGATGAGCTCCTAGTTTCATGCTGTGACCCCTCGTTCTCATCTGGTGAGAACCAGGGCTGTGTCAGGGTTGAGGGTTGTCTTATGTAGAGGTTCAATTATGGTTGTACAGGATGGTTTGGACAGGGCTGATCCTGCCTCAGGCAGGGGGTTGGATTAGATGTGACCTCTAGAGGTCCCTTCCAGAACCACTTCTCTATGACTTTATGACAATCAGTAATAAATCCCCAATGACTTTCTCTCACCATTTGAGATGTTGCTAAACCCTTCTCCTACTCCCCTTCAGTTGTCTCTTTTCTAACCAGACCAGGCCTGGCTTCATTAGTCTCTTCTCCGAGCAAAGCTCCTCCATAGCTCTCATCATCCTTGCTTCCCTTCTCTGGACCTTCTCCATCTCCCCTCTGTCCTGTTGGAAGTGTGGGGACCAGACTTGGGTGCACTCTTCAAGCAATGGATGCCCCATGGTTGTATAAAGGGGCACCACAATACTTTTTGTTGTGTTCACAATTCACTTGTCATCCCTAATGTTGCATTCAAGGTTCTTTGGGTAGATGTGATATATTTTATTAGACCAACTAAATAGCTGGAAAAATCTTATTTGCAAGCTTTTGGTCATAAACACCTTTCTTTAGGCACTGGGAGAGTCTGCTGCTGTCCTGAGATCTCAAAGGTAGAAAAGAAGCTAAAAATGTGGCAAGCAGTGTTGCACTGGTCTTTTTGATGGTTGCTGAGCACGGAGCTGATGTTCTTAGCAAACTGTCCACAGCGCCTCCCAGATCTCCTTCCTGCATGCTAACATCTCAGGTAGAGCCCAGAAATCAGGGGTCTGTCTCCCTTTCCCTGAACAATGAGATTAACTATTATTATAATGAATAATATTTGATGTGTGTACATTAGGCGTATGGCTGCTGTTGCATCATCTAGGGGTCTTGGATTGAGATTTTCTCCAGGGGTTAATAACTTCATATTCTCCAGGAAAACTGATACATGCAATTCCGGGACTACAGAAGGTGGCAATTGAAGAAATCAGTAAATGCTGTAGGATGTGAGACAAAAGCAGCACAATATTCTGGGGTTGTTTTGGGTTTCTTGTATTTTTTAACTCTGGGCTGTGCCAATGCTCCTGATGAGACTTAAACCCAAAGGCTCCTGTCTAGAAGATCTTGTCCTCCCCGCTTTGGGTTAGACTGATGCTGCATTTGGGGTCAGGAAGGAATTTTACCCCTTGGTCAGGTTGGTACAGACTGGGGGTGGTTGTCTTCTTCTGAAGCAGGGGCACGGCCTCTACCTGGGATCTCTGGAACAACTATTAACAAACAACCTGCTACTGCAGCAGGACGCTGGCCATTGCTGCCCCCCTGCTTTCCCTGTGACAGATCCAGGTGTGATATCTGGTGCTGTGTCAGGGTTGACAGTAGTTTTAGGAAGAGTTTAGATGCTGGATGTGTCTGGGACGGTTTGGACAGGGCTCCTGCCTTAGGCTGGAGCCTGGACTACATGAAAACTCTTCCAGCCCGACTTCTCTAGGTTTCTTCATAGTTTTAAATCAGTGTGTCAGTCAGTGTGGAAGTGCCCAGGGACACTTGGACACATCTCTTTCCAACAAAGAATATTTTACTCTTACCATTTCTTTTTAGGCATTGGAGTAAAATATAGCAAGAAACACCAAAGAGTAGCTGGACTCTGAAACTAAAGATGTGTTTCCTTAGACCAGTGGTTTTCAACTTATGGTCAGTGGACCCCTTAGGGTCTGCAGACTGTGTCTAGGGGGTCCACGAAAGATAAGTATGATCAATCAAAAGCATGTGAATACCCACATTTACCATTCAAAGGGGTCTGCACCTCCATTTGAAATTTTTTAGGGGTTTGCCAATGAAAAAAGGCTGACAACCACTGCCTAAGGCTTCCTTTGGTCACTGCTAGAAGTGCCATAACCCTGCTAGTACCTTGACTGAGCACAGAGGCATGAAAATAAGAACATGGCAGGCATGACTAGAGTGTCTCAAGAGCAACCTCAGAAAATAAGTCTAGATGCAATACATGAAAATAAGAACATGGCAGGCATGACTAAAGTGTCTCATGAGCAACCTCAGAAAATAAGTCTAGATGCAATGTATAGAAAGGCCATACCTGGTTGGATCCTTGCACTTGAGCAGCTGTCATCAATAGCTCTGCCTCTAAGCAGAATCATAGACTCAGAGAAAATGAGGGTTGGAAGGGACCTCAGAAGGTCATCTAGTCCAACCCCCTGCTCCATGCAGGACCAGCCCCAACTAGACCATTCCAGCCAAGGCTCTGTCCAGCCAGGTCTTCAAAACCTCCAAGGATCAAGGAGGCATCAAGTTGGGTTCTAAAGGCTGAGACCTAATGACCCCAATCCCTGTCTTTCCCCAGGCCACAGTGGATGTTTCCAGCTGAGTCCCCTCCTCATTGGAGCTATTGTGGTTGCTGACATCCTAATCATTGCCTTCATTAACCTGGGTGCTCACTACCTGTGCAGGAGAGGTCAGAAGAAGACAGAGCTTGCAAAGGGTGAGACTATGGCCGTGGATTCCTTATATGGTAGGTAATGCGTCTCGGGGTCTGTCTATGGGCTACTTAGATGGTGGCCAGAGTGAGGTTTACGTGGGCAATATTGGGGGTGACCCCAAGACTAGGATGACCCCTGATTTGACAAATGGCTTCTCTCCCTTCCTCAGGTGATGTCCTGAACTGTCCCACCCTAGAGATGGAGCCAACGTATGAGGTGAGCACGAGGCCTTTTCCCAGCTATGCTCTCCTAGCTGTGTGTTAGGGGATATGTCTGCTGCTGCTATCCCCTCAGCGCTACCTCCTTGCTCCCCTGCTGGATGAACTCCGGAGAGCCTGTACACATGTCCTAGGCCCTTGCCTTGTGCACAGCTAAGGAGCAATTCACCCATCATTGCACTGGGGCAGTTGCCCCGCTCTTTGATTGCTGCTTCATCTACATTTTAAAACCAACTGGCACGGAATTGCTATTCAAGCAGCACTGAGCAAAGTCAGTTGACTTCATGGCTCATTGTCTTCTCCCCGATTCCTGCTAGTCTCTCTCCACTCCACAGGTGTGAACAATCCTCTCTCCTTGTTAATGCTCTTGATTTTCCATTATTCCAATGATCCTTTCTTCTGCCATGTTGTTGGCTGTTAGCCGGCCCTTGTCATGTCTCTCTTCTAGTTCACAGCTCTACAGATAGCTCTAGCTAAAAACCTTAGCTTGGGTATAGTAGTAGTAGGGGGTGTACTCAGATCTATCACTTCTCGGCCTTTTGGCTGGGGTCAAGGGTTAAGTCATGACCAGGGATCCTAGTTTTCTCTGGTAAAAAAAAAATCCCTGTTTTTTAGATTAAAAAAGTATCCCCAAATCCACATTTTTCCATGATTAAAATGAAATGCCTCTAAATATATCTAGCTAGCTAGCTAGATAGATAGATAGATAGATAGATAGATAGATATAGTGGTATTTAATTTTAATAATGGAAAAATTTGAATTTTGGGTTGCTTTTTTAATCTGAAACTGGGGATTTTTTTTATTGGAGAAAATCAGGATGCCTGCTCATGCCTAACAGTAAAGCATCAAGACACTCGAGAGGGCTAGATTTTGTTTTATGAAGATGTACATTTAACTATAATGACAACAGAACTAGTGACACAATATCTTTGGATTATTTTAACTATTTTTGGTTAGTTAGGGTTTTTTAAAATGTAACATATAATCATAGAACCATAGAAAATGAGGGGTTGAAGTGTCCTTAGGAGGTCACCTAGTCCAACCCCCTACTCAAAGCAGGATCAGCCCCAACTAGATCATCCCAGCCAAGGCTTTGTCTAGCTGGGTCTTCAAAACCTTCAAGGATGGAGACTCCACCACCTCTCTGGGTAGCTTGTTCTGGTGTTTCACTACCCTCCTTCTGAAAAAGTTTCTCCTAACATCCAACCTCAACTTCCCTGGCTACAACTGGAGCCCATTGCTCCTTGTTCTGTCATCTGCCACCACTGAGAACAGTCCAGCTCCATCCTCTTTTGAACCCCCCTTCAGGGAGGTTCCAACCTCAGTCTTCAATCCCACCTCAGTCTTCTCTTCTCCAGATTAAATAAGCCCAGTTCCCTCAGCCTATCTTTATAAGTCATGTCCCCCAGCCCCCTCAACATTTTTGGTGCCCTCCACTGGACTCTCTCCAATTTGTCCCCATCTTTCCAGGGGGGGCACACAAAACTGCGCACAGGACTCCAAGTTAATCTAGAAAGTTTGTGCATGTTTAAAATGAACACAAGGCAGATCTTTTTCACTCAGCATGGAAGGAAAGGAAGAGAGGGACAATGGGAAATAAAAACCCTGGTTAGACCCAGTTCACTCTCCCTTCAAGCTTTGCTCTCTGCCACCATGTGACACAGGAGACTCGGCAAGATGGACCTAGGGTGTCACCCCATGGAGGACAGTTCTTACGTTCTTATATGTTCTTATTCCAATAGTTACATTTCTTTTTTGCTTTGAGCATATATGGAGTGGTATAGTAGTAGCCTTCTACCGTATTAGTAAAGCTTTTAGTTTCTCTTTAACAGGAGAAAAATATATGCTGTTATATGTGATGATGCCCCACACCTTCTGCACATCCCCTGTTCAAAATCTTGGGTCTGCCCATGAAGACATGCTAAGTGCTCTTGTATTGTAGCAAGGTTACACCTTTCCAAAGAAGGAGGATCTCCCAATGGTATTGACATGTGCTGTGTTAACATGGGTCTGCTCCACTGAGATAATACAATCAATTATAGTCCCAGGGCTGAGACCCGTAATCCACTGCTTGTGGCTCCCAGCCCTAAAACCCTACAGAGGTCTCCAACTGGCTTCAGTGGGTCCCCAGGCTAAGATGGAAAAATCAGCTGAGTTTTGGTCTTGGATTTGGGACCGCATAGGAGTTTTGAATCATCTCTGGTGGGAAGGGATAGAAACCAGCACTAAAGTCATTAGCTAACTTTGTAGCTGATTGGCTCTTTTTGTAGCTGGATGGCCATTTTTATGGCTTGGTTCCTTTTTTTTGTGTGTGGCTGGTCTTAACTTATCGCGCGATTCACCACTTACATATGTAAGCCTGAGGCATATTCATACTGAATGTGATCTAAAAATCACATGAGCCACAGATCCCATGTAAAACTCGGTGTAGCCTTTCCTTAGACAACCAGCCAGCTGGATACACTAGTTGAACTCAACCCCAAAGTGTGTTCTTGTTTTACCTTTTTTATATCCCAGAAGCACATCCATCAAGCACACATCATGGCACCAAACTGTTTACTGAGCTTCAGGATTACAGCATTCCTACATACCTTTCTTGCCTTCTCTGGGCGGATCTAGGCTTTTGAAAAGCGGGGTGCATAAGGACCTAAGAATTGCCATTTCCTGGGTTAGATCATAGGTGCATCTTGCCCAGCCTCCTGTGTCACACAGCCACCAGGGACCTCAGCTGGTGAGTCCTCCATGGAGCCATCACCACGGGCGTTGTATCTGGCAGGGTTTACAGATGCTCCTGACACCTGCCCCTGGGCCTGACCAGGGTTTCTCCCTCTGTTCTTCTCTCACCTGCAGCCTCTGGCAGTTAAAGTCTAGGAAGTTCTGATTCAGAGGCCGTGCCCCTCATTCCCATGCTCAATAGTGATAGATGCCTCTTTCCTCCAAGAACAGGCCCAATCCCTTTGTGAATCTGGTTCAACTGTCAGCTCCCACCACATCTGGCGGCCAAAAGTCCCACCCTTTCCTTCCCCGCTGAGTGAAAAAGAACTTCCTTCTGTTCATTTTAAAGGTGCACTAACTTGCTTATATGCTAAGTTTAACACAGCACACGTGTTTCTTCAGTTAAAAAGAAACTAGAAGCTTGACTAATACGTGAAGGGCCTAAGGCTGGGTTATTCAGTTTAAGATGGAGGCAAAAACAAATATAAGATCATGGAAAGAGTTAAAAACATTGCACAGGGCTGTTAAATAGGAGCTTCATTACCAGGGATCCTGGTTTTCTCTGATAAAAAAAAATCTCCAATTTTCAAATTAAAAAAGTAACTCAAAATCCACATTTTTCCATGATTAAAATGAAACACCTATATATATATATTAGTGGCATGTCATTATAATCATAGAAAAATGTGGATTTGGGGATATTTTTTAAATCTGAAAATTGGGGATTTTTTTAAATGAGAGAAAACCAGGATCCCGGCTCATACTGGTGAATAGACAACAGAATGGCAGAAGACAGGAGAGCTTGAAGGGTGGAAGATAGAGACTTTAAAGAAAAGAGGGTTGTTAACATGTCTGGAGTGAATAGTTTAGAAGGAATCAAGTAGTTGACAATGAGCCCTGACATCAAGTGACTCCCTCCTTGCCGCCTGACTAGAAACACTGCTTTCCTCAACTACTACAGCCGTTCATCCTGCTTCTGCCCATTTCAGGATATCTTTGCACCAGGTCCCAATGGGCTGATGTCAGCTGTCTTCCACAGAATGTAGGTTTCAAGTCCTGCGGCTCCCGGCCGGCCCTGTGACCTACCAACAGGAACCCGGATTTTTCTACCCCATTGGATGACCGGCCCCTCTCCACTGTATTGGGCAATGAAGAAGAAAGAGGAGCCTTTTTATGTGGCTGTGGGCCGGATCCCCAGAGACCATCAGTGGGCACCAATGGAGGCAGCTTCTTCACTTCAGACTAGATAAGGACTTGGTCCACTTGAGTCCAGCACTGGCTGGACACTCTGAACTATGTACAGTTATCTTTACCTTTGCTTTCCTCCATAGCTGAGGGCACAGCAGCTTCCTGGGATCTCACTGAAGCATTGGGTGTTGGCTGTAAATGGGGACTGGGCTTAGTCAATTCTTCTGCTGGGACTCAAACCCCGGGGGTCCTGGCTACAGAGTCCTGCCCCTCCACTCAGGCTCAGGCCGATGCGTGATTTGGGATCAGGAAAAAATGTCACCCCATGGTCAGACTGGTAAAGACAGGGAGGGGGGTCTGCCTTCCTCCGTAGCGTGGGCATGGACTCTCTTTGGGATCTCTGGGGAGTCTATTCACAGTATTTTATAGCAGCAAAACATTGGCCGTCGCGGCCCCCCTACAGCAGGTTTGGGTGCGATGTCTTGTGTCATGTCAGTGTTGACAGTAGTTTTAGGAAGAGTTTAGATACTGGATGTGTCTGGGACGGCTTGGACAGGGTTTATCTTGCCTCAGGCAGGGGGTTGGACTAGCTGTGACCTCTGGAGGTCCTTTCCAGCCCCATTTCTCTATCAAGCATATTTTAATAATCTTCGAAGCAGCAGGACGTTGGCGCCACAGTCCCCCTGCTTCATGCTGTGTCCGAGTTGACTGTAATTTTTCTAATAGGTTAGAGAAGGATTTGTCCTGGATGGTTTGGACAGGGCTGATCAAGCCCCAGGCAGGGGCTGGACTAGATGTGACCTCTGGAGCCCCTTCCAACCCCATGTCTCTAGGATTTTATGCTGAATAAAGCATCTTGACAGGCTGCTGTGTCTTTTTGCAAACATTTTTGGACAAATATGTAAGGGAAAACTACTTTTTAACAGCTTGCCCAGTCCAGGCTCTCTCTGGCCGTGACCCTCCTGCCTGGCTCTGCTGGCAGCCAAAGCAGGTCTGGAGCTTGGGACTGACTGTCCACCCCCACATCAACCACACACACACATGCACACTCCCCTTTCTCTTCACACAGCATATGACCCTCCCACACCATATATCTGCATTTCCTCCTACACAGCAGCTGTGTTTAGCTCTTGCTCTTCTGAGCTCTCCAGTCTCCCTAGCTGGGTGGCACATCCTGGATCAGAGGGTAAAGCTTCCAAGCCCTGGTGACCCGCAGAGTCCCCCCTAGGAAAGGACTTGTCTTGCATGCAGGCTTTGTCCTACCTACTTTGCCCAGGCGGGATGTCTCAGAGCCACTGACAAAGCTCCCAGCCCTGGGGGCAATCCAGGAGTGTCCTTTTCCTCTCTGCATCTCATGGGAAGTGGGAGAATTAAGGAGAGAACCAAGAGTCATAGACTCAGAGAATGAGGGCTGGAAGGGACCTCAGGAGGTCACATCTAGTCCAACCTCCTGCTCCAACCAGGACCAGCCTCAACTACGTCATCCCAGACAAGGCTTTGTCTAGCTGGGTCTTCAAAACCACCAAGGATGGAGATCTCACCACCTCTGTTCCAGTGCTTCACCACCCTCCTCCTGAGAAAGGTCTTCCTAATATCCCACCCCAGCTTCCTTTGCTGCAGCTTGAGCCCATTGCTCCTTGTTCTGTCGTCTGCCCCCACTGAGAACAGTCCAGCTCCATCCTCTTTGCAACCTCCCTAGTTGAAGACTACTGTTCAATTCCCCCTCAGTCTTCTCTTCTCCAGTCTAAATCAGCCCAGTTCCCTCAGTCTCTCCTCATAAATCATGTCCCCCAGCCCCATCCCCATTTTCATTGCCCTCCACTGGACTCTCTCCAATGTGTCCACATCCTTTCTGTAGTGGGGGACCCAAAATTGAACACAGGACTCCAGATGTGGCCTTCCCAGTGCCAAATACAGAGGAAAAATCACTTCCCTCGATCTGCTGGCAACACTCCTACCAATGCAGCCCAGGATGCCATTAGCCTTCTTGGCAACAAGGGCACCCTGATGGCTCATATGATGGACCCTCGCTCTCAGGGCTCTGGTCCCCACCAGCAGGGTCAGGAACAACACACCCCGCAGGGGTCAGGAGCTTTAGGGGTCTGATCTCCCTGGCACTGGGACTGCTTCTGGGATGGGGAAGGGCAGTGCCGCAAGGACAGGGTGGCAGCACCAAGTTCCTCCACAGGGTTTCCCTGGGTTGTTCCAGCTTCAGTTGCAGGTGCCCATCCAGCTCTCCAGGGAATGGGGCCACTTCCTCTCCCCCAGGTCCCCTCCCCACACCCCCAGTGCTTTTGGAGCTTGCTAATCTGTGGGTTTTGCTCTTGTTGGGAGGAAAGCCCTTCCCCTTTTGGTGGCCTTCCCATTGCCCCAAGCCTTTTGCCACCAACCAGCCATTCTCCAGCTCCTTTCTCAATCAGCCACAAAAGAGGGATCCCACACCCCTCCCTAGTGAGGTTATCCAGCTGTTCATCACTTGGGTAGCACCAATAATGAGAAATCCCTGCTCCCACCCCTGTGTTAGGGTAGCTTGTTATATTTTATGCTTTAAAGTTGCACCTGCTAAGAATAGCAAATTATAGTATTGTTTATATTTAGCATTATTTAATCATTGCTTACGTTTGGTATAGCCTCATTAACATTTTATTTTATTAGCTAGCCTTGAGTTGTTTTTGCAGAGCTCATAGGTCCTTTTCTTTTTTATTACTGTGAAAAGTTCTTCTAACATAACATAGTAATGGCCTTGTTACCAGCTCAAATTAACTGAGCTTGGCACTAGCCAGCTGAATCAGAGGGATGAAATAATTGGATATGTTAATGAAAGGTGATAAGGGAGACCAATGGACACTGCCTAAAATAAGATACCAGAAAAAGGCCAGATTAAGAGGTGTTCTTGTGATGGGTCTGTTGAACAGAGGAACATGCTGACAGGATAAAATATGGGCAGTGTGCTGACGGCAATGAGACCAATCTGGAAGCAAAGAGTCATTGAAGGAATGCAATTGAAGAAAAGCATAAAAGGGGGCAGCAAGGAAGTTAGGCATTGTCACCATTGTCCTAAATCCAGCCTTCAACACCTGTCTGGATTGTCCCAGACAGGGACCAGGAGGCAGCCGTATTGCTTGGGTTCAGAACCAAGAAGGACAGGATGAGAAGGAATATCCCAGATCATCCATTCAGTCCTTTGTTGCCACCTTCAATCAAATTCACCATTCACCATTGAATGGTGGACAGCAACCACCAATCAATCGAATTCACCATACGGCGTAGGGTGGGTAAGATCACTAGTAGGGTGGAAGTGATTGACTTTAGGAAGGCTAACTTCAGTGTGCTCAGGAGTCTAGTCAATGATGCACTGCAGGATAGGAGTATTGGCAATATGGGAGTCCAGGAAGGGTGGTCGTTCCTCAAGGAAGTGATCCTTCGGGCACAAAGGGAGCTGATCCCAGTGCAAGGGAAAGCGGGGAAAAGGGCAAAATAATTTCCATGGCTAAACAGAGAAATCCAGGGCAGGCTAAGGGCAAAAAAGAGGCATATAGGTGGTGGAAGCAGGTAGAAGCTACCAAGGAGGAGTGTACCTACTTGGCCCGCACTTGCAGGGAGGCAGTTAGAAAGGCCAAAGCAACTACAGAGCTAAGACTAGCAACACGTAATAAAGACAACAAAAAGTCTTTTTCTAGGTATGTAAGGAGTAAAAGGAAGATGCAGGGCAGCATAGGACCTCTACTGAACAAGGAGGTGCAATTAGTGACTGACAGGGGGTACAAGGCTGAGCTCTTCAATGAGTTTTTTGCCTCACTGTTCCTGAACAAGGGTCAAGATAAGGTGCCTCGTGGGTTCTTTGTTAGGCATCAGAGAGACACCCGCCCACCAACTGTCGAGGCTGACTTGGTGCAGAGTCACTTGGATGGACTGGATGTGTTCAAGTCGGCAGGCCCGGATGAGCTGCATCCGAGAGTACTGAAGGAACTGGCCAGTGTCATAGCAGAACCACTGTCACGGCTGGTTGTGGACCCACTGACTCAGGTCAGGTCCCGGAGGACGGGAAAAGGGCCAATGTGGTCCCTATTTTCAAGAAGGGGAGGAAGGAGGATCCCAGTAATTATAGGCCAGTCAGTCTCACCTCCATCCTTGGAAAAGTCTTTGGAAAGAGTATTAAAGACCATATTTCTGTGAGTTCAGTGGGAAAAATAATGCTGCAGGGAAACCAGCATGGATTCGTAGCAGGCAGATTGTGCCTGGCTAATCTGGTTTCTTTGTATGACCAGGTCGCAAAATGCTTAGACACAGGAGAAAAGGTGGATGTCATTTTCTTGGATTTTACCAAGGCCTTCGATATGGTCTCTCATCCTATTTTCATAAATAAATTAAGAGGCTGTGACATAGACACGGTCCAGTGGGTGGCAAATTGGCTTAGCGGTCGCACCCAGAGAGTGGTAGTAGACGGGTCGGTGTCGTCCTGGAAGGATGCGGGTAGTGGTGTCCCACAGGGCTCGGTCCTTGGACCTGTACTCTTCAATATCTTCATCAGTGACCTGGATGTGGGGGTGACGTGTACTCTGTCTAAGTTTGTGGACAATACTAAATTGTGGGGTGAAGTGCACACCCCAAAGGGTAGGGAATGACTGCAGGCAGACCTGGACAGGTTGGAAAAGTGGGCGGTACACAATAGGATGCAGTACAGCAAGGAAAGGTGCAGAGTGCTGCATCTAGGGCACAAAAATATCTGGCACATCTACTGGCTGGGAGTGACCCTCTTAGCAGCATGGAAGCAGAAAGGGATCTGGGAGTCCTAGTGGACTCCAAGATGAACATGAGTCGTCAGTGTGACGAAATCACCAGCAAAGCTAACTGCACTTTATCATGAATCAGCAGATGCATGACAAATAGATCCAAGGAGGTGATACTTCCCCTCTATGCAGCATTGGTCAGACCGCAGCTGGAGTACTGCGTCCAGTTCTGGGCACCGCACTTCAAGAAGGATGTGGATAACCTCGAGAGGGTCCAAAGGATGGCCACTCGTATGGTCAGGGGGTTACAGGACAAGCCCTATGAGGAGAGACTAAGGGACCTGGACCTCTTCAGCCTCCACAAGAGAAGGCTGAGAGGTGATCTTGTGGCCACCTACAAATTCATTAGGGGGCACAGCAAGGGATCGGAGATGCTCTGTTCACCAGGGTGCCTCTTGGGGTAACAAGGAGCAATGGTCACAAACTGACAGAGAGCAGATTTAGGCTGGACATCAGGAAGAACTTCATGGTAAGGGTGGCCAAAATTTGGAATGGGCTCCAAAGGGAGGTAGTGCTCTCCCCTACCTTGGGGGTCTTCAAGAGAAAGTTGGATAGACATCTGGCTGGGGTCATCCGAGCCCAGCACTTTTCCTGCCTAGGCAGGGGGTCAAACTCTAATCTGTTGAGGTCCCTTCCAACTCTAGCAGCTATGAATCTATGAAACTTCTTAATTCCCATATTAAAACCAGTTGCATTTTCAACAACGGAACAAGGAGCAATGGTCTCCAGCTGTAAAAGGGAAGTTGAGCTTAGATATTAGGAAAACTTTCTCATGAGGAAGGTAGTAAAGCACTGGAACAGGCTACCCAGAGAAGAGGTGGGATCTCCACCCTTGCAGGTTTTTTAGACCTGGCTAGACAAAGCCTTGGCTGGGATGATCTATTTGGGCCTGGCCCTGCTTGGAGCAGGGGGTTGGACTAAATGTGACCTCCTGAGGTCCCTTCCAACCCTCATTTTCTGATTCAATGAGTTCTCTGCCTTCACTGCTCCTATTGCAAGAGCTTTTACAGAACCCCCATGCTATGAGCTAGAAGCCACCATCTAATTACCACCAGCAAATAGGTAGAGCCCTTCAACAGCAAATATGCAGAGCCCTTTTCTCCCCAGCACCACCTGGGGTGATGAGGAACAATGGTCATAAGCTGAGGGAGAATAGGTTTAGGTTGGAGATCAGAAGACAATATTTTACAGTTAGGGTGGCCAAAATCTGGAACCAGCTTCCCAGGGAAGTGGTCCTCACCCCTACCTTGGGCAGATTCAAGAGGAGGTTGGATGATCACCTGTCTGGGGTCTTGTGAACCCAGCATTCATTCCTGCCTATGGCAGGGGGTCAGGCTAGGTGATCTGTTCAGGTCCCTCCTGACCCTAGCTACTATGAAACTATGAAATTATGAAATTATAATTGCCCATGAGCAGTATGGAAGCTTCCTCTGTTTTCTGTGTGGACCCCAATTTCCATGGATTAGACCTAAGCATTTGACAGACAAAATCCTGGTAGTCTCCCTCAAGTTCTCCAATCCAGGACAGCTCTCCAGTGATCTTCCCTTATTCATAAGCAGTCCCTGGACAAGGTGGTTGAAGGCAGTTGTGGGGGTCTGTGCACCAGGTGTCTCGAGGGGTTTCACCCTGCCTGGGCCCAGCTTGGTACTGGCACCTTCAGGGCTGGAGGTCCTCTGTGCGTATGTCCTCGTAGCTCCTGGAACAAGAGCGCAGGGTGCAAAACAGCAACTGGTTGGGGATGATCGAGGCATCGCGATGCCTCTGTTCTACTGTGGGAATGTCCCAGGCTTCTGGACTTTGAAAGTTGTACCCCCCACCCCCCAATTTCTGCTCCATGTGTCAGGGGGGGTTTAATCCTCTCCTAGAGGCACTGGGTGCTGGCTGCAGCCCAGGCTGGGGATGGGGACTGGGCTGTGCCAATTCTCCTGCTGGGACCAACCCTGCAGGGTCCTGGCTAGAGGGTCTTGCCCTCTGCTCAGGCTCAGACCGATGCCAGATTTGGAGTCAGAAAGGTTTTTGCCCCATGGTCAGACTGGTATGGACTCAGGGGTGCTGGGGACTGCCTTCTTCTGTAGCAGGGGGTCACAGCTTCTACCTGGGATCTCTTGAGCATATATTAACAACGTTTTATAGCAGCAGGACATTGGTGACTGTGGTCCTCCTGCTTTCCCTGGGGCAGGATTGGGTGCAATGTCTGATGTCATGCCAGGGTCAATGGTAGTTTTATAAAGAGTTTAGATGCGGGATGTGTCTGGGGTGGTTTGGACAGGGCTGATCCTGCCTCAGGCAGGGTGTTGGACTAGATGTGACCTCTGCAGGTTCCTTCTTCCCCACTTCTCATGGACTCTCTGCCCCTATGGCCGCTGGAGATCTCCTCCACCCCAACATCTCTACGACCCTATAATGATGACTCTATGACCTCTGGAGATCTCCTCCACCCCAACATCTCTACGACCCTATAATGATAACTATATGACCTCTAGTGGTCCCTTCCAGCTCCACTTCTCTAGGACTTTATCATTCTACCTCCATGGTTTTCAGCCTGTGGTCCATGGACCCCTAGGGTCCACAAACTATGTTTAAAGGGTCCGCAAAAGATGCCTATGATCAATGAAAAGTATGTGAATACCCACACTTGCCATGCAAATGCGCCCACACCTCCATTTGAAAATTTGTAGGGCTCCACAAATGAGAAAAGGTTGAAAACCACTGTTCTAAGGTGAATCAAACCAGGCAGGCCAATGCCCCAGGAAAATGCAAGCAGCTTTACAGAGGCAGTGATGGGAAAGGAGCTTACACCCAGATAATCATTAGTCCTTTGGAGTGATGGCTCCCCACAGGACACAGCTATGTCATTATAATGCTACCAGCACCTCCTCTGCAGCTGGCATTTTGTCCTGCAGCTCATCCCAGTTTCTCAGCTCAGTGGCAGAAGGATTGGTGTCATGGCATGTGCGCCTTGGGCTTTCACTGGTGTAGAGATGTCACCACGATGGAAATCGTCCCTGTCACTGACACTAATGTACCAGCCACTGAACCCTGGGAGATGGATCATGCTTCAGCACCTGATGTTCTCTACCTTGTTCAGCTGGCCCCCAGGCTGAGAGAGCTGCTATGGAGGGTATGGAGGGAAGGCAGAAAACTCACCTACATCTTCCCAGCCGTATAACCATGACGGCCGTCCCGGTGGCGATGAGCAAAACAAGAATGCTGATTCCTACAGTCCAGCCCGCTTTGGAGTGACCGGTGTTTGCTGGGGAAAAAAACCCAGCAAGAGAGAGAGAGGTGGGAGCTCTCCATTTGTACTTGGCCAGCTAGCTCACTCCCTTTACACTTGCCTAATTACCCCTGTGTAACCTATGTAATTAGCAGGGATCCTGGTTTTCTCTGATAAAAAAAACAAAAAACCCCCAAATTTTCTGATTAAAAAAAGTAACCCAAAATCCACATTTTTCCATGATTAAAATAAAAAACCTCTAATATATATATATATAACATACACACACATACACATGCACTTATGCGTAGAAAATTAGAAACACCACTATATACATATAAAGAATGTATTTATATTCTAAAATAATAAAAGGCTTAGTCTGTCTGTCTGTCTGTCTATAATGCTTTTGGGCAACTGCGCATGCACCACTGAGAGGCCCGGCGGCAATTGTCTGGCGGGGCTCTGCCTCCTGAAGCAGGGAGGAGGAAGCCCCACTGCTGTGCGGGAGGAGGCAGAGGCAGGCGGTGGGCGGGGAGGAGGGAGCTGCTACTGCAATTCTGCTTGTTTGGCAGTCCTGGTCATGTCTCTCTCCTATTGCACAGCCCTGCTGACTGTTTTAATTCAAGCTAAAACCTGAATTCAGTGGGCAGTACTAATATTAACTCATGTGAGGTATCAGAGATGCTGTCAAGACACTCAGAAAGACTAGATTTTATTTCACGAGTCTGAATAAGAGATATACTTTTCACGATAATGACTCCAGGACTAATGACACAATCTCTTTTGACTATTTGGTCCATTTTCTTGCCCAGCTTCTTGTGTGTTTTTAAGCAGACTATATCATCTAGGAAACACCCTGGGGGAAACAAGGGAATGTTCCCAGAAAGTTATATTTGTTTTTTTGCTCTGATCTTCACCTGAATAATATAGGGTTAGGCCTCTGGCTTATTAGTAAAGCTTCTAGTTTCTGTTCAGCTGGAGAAAATATGTCATGTTGTGTGTGATGATGATACACCACACCATCTGTACACCCCTTTGCTATATCCTGGATCTGCCCATGTCCAGCTTCTAATTCATGTACTCATAGAAAGTGAGGGTTGGAAGGGACCTCAGGAGGTCACATCTAGCCCAACACCCTGCTCAAAGCGGGATCATCCCCAACCACATCATCCCAGCCAAGGCTCTGTCTAACCAGGTCTTCAAAACCTCCAAGGATGGAGACTGCACCACCTCTCTGGGTAACCTGCTCCAGTGCTTCACCACCCTTCTAGTGAGAAAGTTCTAATATCCAACCTCAACTTCCCTTGCTGCAACTGGAGCCCATTGATCCTTGTTCTGTCATCTGCCCCCACTGAGAACAGTCCAGCTCCATCCTCTCGAACCTCTCTTCAGGGAGTTGAAGGCTCTTATTCAATCCCCTCTCGGTCTTCTCTTCTGCAGACTCAATGAGCCCAGTTCGCTCAGCCTCTCCTCATAAGTCATGTCCTCCAGCCCCCTCACCTTTTTTGTTGCCCTCCAATGTGTCCACATCCTTTTTGTAGTGGGGGGCCCACAACTGGACACAGTACTCCAGATGTGGCCTCACCAGTGCTGAATAGAGGGGAAGAATCATTTCCCTTGATCTTCTGGCAATGCTTTTACCAGTGCAGCCCAGGATGCCCTTAGCCTTCTGGGCAACAAGGGCACACTGCTGGCTCATATCCATCTTATTGTCCGCTGTCACCCCCAGGTCCTTTTCTGCAGAGTTGTTGCCCAGCCAGTCAGCTCCCAGCCTGCACCAGTGCATGGGATTGATTTGTCCTAAGCACAGTACTTTGCACTTCTCCTTATTTTCTGTGCCCTGTATTGATTTTGTGGAAGTTTCTGTTACAGGGGTTCAACCTCTTCCAGGGTTTTAGGGGAAAAGAGGTGTTTGCTTGGCCCAAGTTAAAACCATTCTCACCACCATTTCATCAGGTTGCTCTTGTGCACTCATGCATTGACATTGGGGCTTGAAATCCAGGCAGTGCACCTACCCCAGGGGATAATGAGGCCCCCGGCCTGCAGGCTGCTATGCTCCACTTGGCAGGCATAGCGGTGCCCATCCTCTGGTGCCACAGCCAAGGCGCTGCGCAGCTGGTACGTCAAGTCAGCGTTGGGCAGGATCCCAGTGGAGCTCATTTGTGGGCCCGGTGCCACCTTCTCCCCATCACACAACCAGGACACGTGGACTGGCTGGGGGTGGAACCCCATGACCTGGCAAACCAGGTGCAGCGACGGTGTCAGGAGTCCCGGTGTCAGGGGAGGCTCCCAGGCAAACACCACAGCAACTGGGTGCTCTAAAAGGGGCAGAGAATGCATTTCAGTGTCTCCTTCACTACCATGCACCACCCCAGAGGCAGTTGCAACTCTGTGTGGAGTAAGAGACCCCAAGGGAGAGGGACCGCATTGGTCTGGCCTCACCTTGTCTCTCAAGAGCCTCCTTCCTGTACCGCAGGAAGCTGCCGAGATCATTGATGCACGTGGTATTAAGGAAGAAGTGCAGCATGTTGACTGTGCCCTTGTCACGATTGAGGCTGTCCCGTACGTACCGCGTCAGCTCATCCTCCTGCCAGGCCACCCACTCCTGCGTGTCCCGGTCAAAGCTGACAAAGTCTTCGCCCTCCAGGGTGGCTGTGTAAAAGCCCCGCGAGGTGCCATTGAGGTGAAGCTCGCAGCCGATAGAGCCCTGGATCACAAAGGGGACTGGATGGGGGAGGGTTGGAGGGGATGGGTCCCAGGGGGAAGTGGGAGAGAGGAAGAGGGAACATTGCTGTAATAGGAGCGGCTCTGTGATGTACAGTCTCTTCCCCTCCTTCCAACCCATCTGCCTCATACTCACAGGTCAAGTTCAGATGCTCGGCCCATTGCTTCACCTGATGGATGAAGTTATTCAGGTACATGTGGATCATCAGCTCCAGGTTCCTCCAGTGCTCCAGACTCAGGGCTCGCTGGGCCCAGGGCTGGCAGAAGCGGATGGGGCAGGTGCTGCAGTCCAGGGAGTTGGTCTCCATGTCCCCCAGCAGAGCCATACCCCAAGCATCCGCGGAGACGGCGTCGTGGAAAGTGGCGGTCTGGAGCACTCGGAGGTTGTGGGACCCTATGGGAAGAGGTGGGGAGGCTGCCGGGTTGTGGGGAGAGAAGGGGAGAGCTGAGCGATGGAGAGTTGGGGTGAAGGGTTTTCGGTGCAGTGTTACCAGCCCAAGAGCTTGAGCCATTCGTGGGCCTGTCTCTCTCCTACTTCATGGTCTTGTGTCTCTCCTAGTTAACGGTCCTGCTTCTCCTATTTCACAGCCCTGCACACGGTTTTTTGCTCTACATAAAACCTTTAACATAGATGTGGTCGTATTAACTCAGGTGCAGAAAAGCCTACTAGCGAAGTATCAGAGGCGCCGTCAAGAGGCTCAGAACGGCAAGATGCTGTTTGATGAATCTGAAGGAGAGACGTACAATTCACTGCAACTGCTACAGAACTTGGGACACAAGCTTTGGATTGTTTTGGCTATTTTTGACTAGTTTGTCGGTTTTCTTCAAAAAACCTCATTTTTTAACTAGTTTTGCCTAGTTTGTTAATTTTTGCTAAAAAAACCCCTTTGCTTTGACTATTTTTCGCCTAGGTTCTTAGTTTTCTTCAAAGAACCTTTGTTTTGACTATTTTTTTGCCTAGTTTATTAATTTTTGTTTAAAATTTTTTTTTACTATTTTGCCTTTTCTTTTTTGAAAAAACATTTGTTTTGACTATTTTTGCCTAGTTTGTTAATTTTCTTTTAAAAAATCCTTGTTTGCACAATTTTGCCTACTTTGTTAGTTTTCTTTAAAAAACTTTTTTTTTACTATTTTCCCTAGTTTGTTAGTTTTCTTCAAAAAAATCTCTTTGTTTTGACCATTTTTTGCCTAGTTAGATTTCTTTTAAAAAAAAAAAGTTTTTACTGTTTTCCCCTAGTTTGTTAGATTTCTTCAAAAAAAAAACCCTTAGAATTCATCTAGCAAACGTGCACATTACCGTAGTTACGTTCATTTTTGCTTTGATCGGACATGGAATTGTACCGTGCTAGCCCCCTAGCTTATTAGTAACACACACAGTATCTGCTGAAGTGGAGAAAAATGTGTGTTGTGGAACCACCCAATTACCTGCTGGGGGGTTGCAGAGAGGATGGTGCTAAACTGTTCACATTGGTGGCAGATGACAGAACAAGGAGCAATGGGCTCAAGTTGCAGCAAGGGAAGTTGAGGTTGAATATTAGGAAAAAAAATTTCACTAGGGGGGTAGTAAAGCACTGGAACAGGTTACCCAGAGAGGAGGTGGGATCTCCATCCTTGCAGGTTTTTTAGACCTGGCTAGACAAAGCCTTGGCTGGGATGATGTAGTTGGGGCTGGTCCTGCTTTGAGCAGGGGATTGGATGAGATGTGACCTCCTGAGGTCCCTTCCAGCCCTCATTTTCTGTGGTGCTACAGATAATAGAAAAGCCCCTAGTGTCATCACGGGGGGAACAAGAAGAGCTGGGGGACAGGGAGCCCCCAGGAAGGGAGGGAAATGTGGAGCAAGTTGAACAAGTCTTGTTCTCATCAGTTCCCCGCAGGCTTCAAGGCTTCATTGCCCAGTTTGACAGGAGGGCAAAGCTACCCTTGCATCTCAGACTGCCCAGAACAAAGGACACCGGCGCAGCTTGGTGCTATCCTGTGCTGGCTCTGGAGGCTGTACCCCCCCCAACAAGAGGCCAGGGGTCCCCGCTTCACAGCCAGTGCCCCCAGCACCCATGCCAGGAGAAAGAGAGGAGGCAGCATGCACCCAGGAGGTAGGTGTGTGGATCTTTAGGGCCAGTAATGGGAGCTCTCCTGTGCCATCATTCACTCCTGAACATGTAAAACTTCTCCTTCTCCTTGGAGCGTCTTCCTGCGGGTACTAACAGAGACCAGCCAGTCGTGTCAAGAGCACTGGGGGGAGGGGGGAGGGAAGTCACAGCCCCTTCTCAGTGCTGTTCCCACATTAAGGCTTCGTGATCAGTTAGTGCAGGCGGCAGCTGTGTGAGGAAGTGCTGGGGGTGGCGGGGAGGGGGGAGAAAACACTCATCTTGCACTTACCGGTGCATGGGAAGTGGGACAGAAACCCCCCAGCCTTGCTGTCATGCTGGCTTTCTCTCCTGACTCCCTGGGACCTGACGGGTCCCCAGTGCTGGAGTAGGAGACAGTTTGCCACTGGTAGCAGGGAGGTCTGCATCACCTAACACTGGCACAGGCATCAGGCCCCATGCGGCTTTGCTCAGCACCGCAGCTCTCAGGGCTGGACTGCCTGGTGTAGGAGCTCTGGTTAAGAAGACGCTTCTCTGATGCTTCCTCTGCCTGAAGAAAGGTGTTTGTACACAAAAGCTTGCAAAGAAGTATTTTTCCAACTATTTTAGTTGGTCTAATAAAAGATATCAGATTGACCTAAAGAACCTTGTCTGCCTGGTTAAGAAGAAAAACAAAAATGGAAAGGACCTTGATGGACCTTTATAAAACCATAGGGCGTTCATGGAGGACTTCCCAACATTTGGACATAATCATTGAGGGCACTGACTTACTTCAATCCTGTGCCCAGGTCTGCTCCCTGCACCTCCAAGAGCATACAGAAGAGCTAAAGAAGGTCCAGAGAAGGGCAGCGAGGATGATGAGGGCTATGAAGGGGCTTCCCAAGCAGGCCAGGCCTGGTCTGGTTAGAAAAGAGATGCCTGAGTGGGGACAGAGAAGGATTTCCAAAATACTGAAGGGTGAAGAGGAAGTCACCAGGGATTTATCATTATTTATTATTATTTATTTATTATCTCCCCATACAAGAACAAAGGATCACGGCATGAGACTAGGAGGTTGTCAGTTGATAAAGAGCACCAGGCAGGTCTTTTTCACCCAGTGTGAAAGGAAAAGCTGGGACTTGTGGCCACTAGATGTGGTGGAAGCTGAGAGTGTCACCAGATCCACCAAGGGCTTGGACACAGTCTTGGAGGAAAGGGGCATCGGTTGCTATTGAGCATGGGAGTGACGGGCCCGGCCTCTGAATCAGACCTTCCTGGACCTTCAGTGCTGGAGGCTGCAAGAGAGAGAGGAACGGGAGGTCGCTTGTGACACAGCATAACCTCTAAGAATGGCCATTTACTGGATCAGACCTTAGATCCATCTTGCCCAGTCTCCTATTTGCCAGTAAGGTGCTGGCAAGCAGCAGGGGAGAAAGGGGCCTCAAGATAGCTGGATGAGAGAAAAATGAAATAGACACACACACAATCCAAAAAGACCCTGAAGGGCATATGGAAACAGCAGCTGAAACACTCAAAAAGGAAGGTAAAATGTAAGACTTCACAAACGAGCCAGAGATCACAAGAACCGAAGCGCAGGTGCGTACGCTTGGCAGGCAACACAGGCTGAGATAAACATCTTGACACAGAGAGAGATAAGCATTGGTGCAAGGTGGGGGGTGGCATGCCAGTATAAATACAGACCTGTCCATGGGTGGATCTAGGATTTTGAGAAGGGGGTGCTGATGGTGTGGTGTGTCCTCACGTATAGCACACCACACATTTTTCTCCAGATAAAAATGAGAAGTATTCCAAATACACTAGCGGCCTAAGGATGGATGATCCTGTTTTAAGAGGGATGCAAAAAACAAATGTAACTATTGGAATGAGTGAAAAAAACCAGCCTGGGAAACAGGAGCCATGTTATGGAGAGTGTCGAAATAAATGGCTGACTTGCAGCAAAGAAAGGCTTAACTTGATTAGTGGAAGATCAAGGGCATTAAAAAAAGGAGAGAGGGGCATTCACACCTCTGGAGTGAAGAGTTTAGAAGGATGCATTGTTATTTACATTGTAATAAACAGCAGTGTTTCATACATAACGTGCATCTAAACAAAACACATCATGTACAAGCGCCTTTAGTTGCGAGGGGAGATGTTGTTCCTGTCGGACCCCAGTCGTATTGCTTTTCCCAGGTTGGAGGTTAGACCCAGGCCCCTTTTTCAAGGTGGAACATAGCCCTTGCACTGCCATCAGGGCCTGGGAAAGCGTTATGTGGAGCTTCCTGTCTAGTCATTAACAAAGCTCGGGGAACTCATTGGCAGCTGGCCAGGCCGTGGCCTGGGACCCCAGATTTCAGTGTAGACAAGAGGGTCTGGCGGGTTTTGCTCTTTGAAATGCTTCCCCTTCTGTTTCAGCAGCAGAAAACAAATGATTGGGGTGCATGGCGGCGTGTCATGCTTCCATCTCTGTCTATCATATCCCTTCTCACACGTCATTGTTGCCGTCATTGCGTGTCACTGATGCAGTGTCAGGGTTGAAGTCTCTGGGACCAGCAAAGAGTCTCTTGAATGCCAGCAAAGAGACGCAGCCAGGAGAGCCCAATACCAATCTCGTCTTAAAGAACCTCCATGGGCTCAGTTCGGTGGCAAAGGTTGGGTCACGTTTATTGTCTACATATGTGTGCTCTGATGGGTGAGGTGTTCGCGCGTGTTTGCCTGTGGCTGGGTATACACACACCACCACATAGCCTCCCCTCAGCTGATATAAAGGTCTCATAATTGCTAATGCCCCTTTCAGCCACAGATCCAAACAAACCATCACGTTCCAACAGGGTCTTGACCGTCTTGACACCGTCCTGTGGACACGTCCATGTCCTGTGGACACGCCCATGATCTGTGGGCATGTCCGCATCTTACGAGCACGTCCACTGTTCTATGGGCACATCCACTATCCTGTGGCCATGTCCATGTCCTGTGGGCATTTCCAACATCCTATGGGCACGTGCACATCCTATGGGCACATCCAATGTCGTGTGGGCATGTCCGCATTCAGTGGACATGTCCGTGTCGTGTGGACACGTCTATGTCCTGTGGACACATGCATGTCATGTGAGCATGTCCATGTCCTGATCTGGGGGTTCCTGTTTCAGATTTATCATCCTGGCACTGAACCGTCCTGCACCTTGTACAGAGGTCTCCCCCTCCCATCTCCTGATACTGGGGAGTCCTGGACACCCCTTGCTCCTTTCTGCTGCGCTGGTGCATCCTTATGTTCCTCCTGGCAGATCCTTTGATCCCAGAAGCAGTTGAGGCCAATCCCCAACAATTAGCAAGTGAGAGAAGGTGGATGACAAGGGACATGGTCAAGGGGGGTGATATGCACAGGCCAGGGATCACACTTCATGCTAATAAGGTGCCCCCTGTCTCGTCATATTCGACTAATCAAGCTATCCTTAGCTCTGCCATGCTGCCGCCCATTGGACGCTCCTGGTCACAAAGCTCCCGTTTCACAATCCTCATTTCAATGCTGCTCCATTTGCTTTTGCTTCAATCCAAAACCAAACAACACAGCTCCAGTCCCCGGGTGTATTAGTATGGATTCTATTTTCTTTTTAATGAGGAAAAAATACCTGTTGTTTGGTATCTCAGGATGCACCCACCATTGTGATGGATCAGTCCCACGCACCGGTGCAGGCTAGGGGTGACTGGCTGGGCAGCAGCTCTGCAGAAAAGGACCGGGGGTGGCAGTGGACAAGAAGTGGAGTAGGAGTCATCAGTGTGTCCTTGATGCCAAGAAGGCTACCTGCATCCTGGGCTGCGTGGGTAGGAGCGCTGCCAGCAGAT